ACTAGGCGAGGGACATGGAGTGCATTAGCTAGCTATACACGTAGTTCATATACAACACCTATCCCGGAGACAGGTAGAATAGTGCCATCTGCCACTTGTAACTTTTGCTGAACAGGCTTAAGATTGCGGATAGAACATAGACGGCTATTCATATGATTATATGCAGCGGAATCGAGAAGCCAACAATGGCTATTACCTAAAGAACTACCATTTGAAAACGTAGAACTCATCACCTCCTATAGCGTCTCATGAAGGAGCTTGGTCAGCTCTGCCTTGGAGAACCCAGCCATAGTAGAAGAGCTTGCAGCATGTGGCTGAGCTAGAGAACCATGGGGAACAATTGCGAACGCCCGAGGAGGGGGACCCGATTGGTGAGGTTGAGAACGTTTCCCACGCTGGCGACATTTGCTAAGTATGTGACCATCCTGTTTGAAAAAAAACTACACCAATTCTGCTTCTTGCAGAATTGCTGAATATGGCCGGGTTCTCGACAATAGTGGCAGATACGAGCTGAAGGGGGCCCCTGACCACCCGGAGTAGAACTGAACTGAGGATGATAAGAGGAGGCAGCAAAGGCAGATAAGTGGTCGAGAGAACGAGGCTGGGGAGAGTCGATCTGCGCGTGACTCTTCAACCGCAGTTCTTCCCTATACAACTCACCCAAAATAGTATCCAAGTCCGTGATATTACCGTGAAGAATGGTGGCCCGGATGGGTTAAAACTCACGGCGCAACTTCATTAAAAAGGTCATGGTCCGTGATCGAGCACGCTAAGCCACCATTTCCGTCGAGGCAGGAGTGGAAGAGAGAGGCGCAGATAACAGATCATGCTCCGTCCAGAGGTGAGTTGCAGCCTGATAGTATGAACGAATGTCTCGATCTCCATGAGACAAATGAGAAAGCGCCAACTCTATGTCAAACTGTCAGGAGGCACTTACCTGACAGTTGGTAGTCACCAAATGATTCCACATGTCGCTGGCTAGCTCAAAGCGACGTAAACTAAGACCAGTAGGAACATCAAGGGAGGAGAGAAGCCAAAATACGACCTGAGCATTCTCATATTTCCAATCAGCCAGTGCCTTCTCGTCAGTAGCTACTGGTTTCGGCCTCTTATCGAGAAGAATAGGAAGCAGCCTTTTACTTTGAACAAAAGTGCGGAATTGAAATTCCCAGAGCAGGAAATTCTTCCCATCAAAACGGGACAATGCCAAATCACCCTTCCCTCAATACATGACAACGCAGCAGAATAATAGCAGTCGAGCAACAGAAGGAACCCCAACAAAATAATGATAGCCGAGCAAGGAATAAAACCCTTAGCCAAAGGAGCAAACTCTTAGCAGTACGCAAGACACAATTAGGAGTAGCCAAAGATAACAAGAGACAAAGAGCAAGGACCTGCCAAAACAAACCAGAATAGCCTAGTTCTGCGCAGAACAAGGGAGACAACCACCAATCCAGAAAACCTCACGCAAAGCAGCCGAAACACAAAATCCAGCTAGAGAACCTAGCGAGCAGCCAAAAATCCCAACGAAGAAATCGACGAACCTTAGGCAGAAGGCTCTGATACCATGATAAGAACTCAGAAAACAAGAATACAACACGAGGATTTTATGTGGTTTCCCTGAGAATCAGGACTAGTCCACGAGAGAGCTTGTACTCTCCGGAGTCAATCTTATTCGTCTTATCGGCTGCAGCATGTATAGAGGGAATATAAATACATGAGCCGTGGAACTTACTTAACCCTAATCCTCCTTAGTTTAGGACTTAAGGACAATTACCAAAAGATACCTAAATTACTAAGTATATATGATATTTCAACATCCTTCTCATCCATTAAAAACTTATTGTCTTCCCATGTCTTTATAATGTCTCAATCTTTTTCGTCCGACGAATCGGAAAGAGGCTGAACATACAATTTTATGCAAATGCAATGCTTATATTGAAATTTCGGAGAATGGTGTCGTCAATCATTATCAAAGCACAATTTAATTTCGGAGGTGAGTGAGAGTCATATTTGCCTCTCAAGGATAAGGAGGGGTAGTTTCACTTACTGACAAACATGTGATGAATCTATTGTTATCTAAACCAATTATTGTGCTTTTATCGTTGATGACTTCATATTTAACGATAAAATTTTTAATGTCTGAATAAAAAATTACATCAAAATGTTCGTCTTAATTAATTATTATTATCTATATAAAGATAATCTACAAATTATCTAATTAAAGTTATTATGAAATCTATACTAAACTACATTAACTCAAAATGGAAATTTGGCATTTAGTACTCCATTGAAGCAAAAACCAGTTTTAGGAGCCAAAGAGACAAACTAAGTCCAGCAATTTGACACTACTATTGAAGATGGACATGTTTAATTGTACTTTCTTATAGGTTAATTGTAGTTTCCTTGCCCGACATGAGAAGACATAAATCACTCTTTCTATATCATATGTTTATTTGTGTGCTATTTCCACCATTCAACAATTTTATGACAGTATAAGTGAACACAACATAGAATGAAAATAAATAAAAGAAAAATTCATGTGGTTGAATAATATTTCATGTGGAAATGACAAAAAAGAAGAAGAAGAACCACAAAGTGAGAAATTGGAGGTTGGTATTGAGGATGGAGGTGATCGGGTTCCTAGTGGTGATGATAGTGTAAGAGAGGATATTGACCATTGCTATGGCATTAGAGTTGATATGCAAATATTGAAATTGATGCACTCATTTAGTGTCATTCCCATCATTTAGAACCTTTCAAATGCTTCACTATCGACGGTTTGGATTCCTAAGCTTGTTTATGACTTGTGAGTTTTGCTATTGTGGAACTAATTAAATTTTCATTTTATGATTGTCAACTTTATGCATTAGAATTTGGTCTACTAAAAAAGGTCGTTAAATTAAATTATATACTCGAGTAGCTACCTTTCTAAATAAGACCACTGAAATTTAATCAGATAATACACAAAATAAAAAATTATATCTCTGATCATGTTTTCACTTCTGCATAGATATACGCATTTGACTGCTATGATAATACGAGTGGTATGGAAACTCCTCAAACTCATATTCCTTTGTGAATTACCCGAAAGAAAAAAATATATATAAACAGGAATCAAATTACATGACAGTACTAGTTAATTAGTAGCAAAATCATATTTGAAAACAAGCAAGCATTCAGTATACGAAAAGAAAACCAGGTGCCATGCACATTTGTATAAAGATTTCAGTGCATGAACCAAAGATAAATTAAGAGTTCGATTGAATGGATAATGACGCCGGGTTAAGCGTTAATTGGTCTGTCTTTTCTCTGTCTGTTTCTGTGTGTTGTTTTGTTTCCTATAAAGCGAGCATACTTCCAAGTGCCAACTAAACGCACTACTAGGTTTCTCCAATCTCATATATTAATTAAACACCTTCCCTGCATGCTGACAGAGGGAAAGGAAGCAGAGGCCAAAAGCGAAACCCATTCCCGAAAACAAGAGACAAAACCTGAAGCGGCGCCGATGCTTCAAGTTCACCACCCGCAGTTCCACTTTGTCGTCCACCAAAACTGCAACTTGTTGGCCGCCGTTGATGAATATTTGATGACAATTATCTCACAGATGAACCAAATTGCATGTGAAGGCCGGCCTAGCTAGAAACAATACCTACTACGCTGATAGAAGCAAAAGTACAATCGAAATACTATCATGATGATTGGACAAAACCAAAGTGGGTGGGGCCGGGGGGGATCTAGTTATAAATTTTGTGAGGTGAAGGGTAGTGGGCTCTCCTCCTCATCCTTCTTGTAGCCATCCCGGGTATCTAACCTGTCTGAAGCCTTTTCCACCTGCAACCAATCAGTTGGGGAAACTCTATGTTATTAACCTAATAAACCCTCTTTTAATTTGCATTATCTAGTTAATGATTGTCCGGCCCATTAAAGAAATCAGTTAGTTCAAAAGTTCGCATATTATAGAGAAAAAGCACCCCTTAGCCCTCTGCGTTTCAGAAATGAGAACTTAATAATGTGATGATAATTATGAAGAACGGGTTTGAATGTAATCGGTTTATTCTACATAGCATATTTGAATTATCGGTTTTCAAATTATAAAAATTCTCAAAATCTATAGTAGGCAAAGATATAAAATAAAATTTATCAATAAAAGATATAAAATGACATTAAAATTCTACCCAAAAACATGACATTAAAACTCGCCCGTGTGCAGTTCGCGAAAAATCCATTCACGCCATCACCAGATAATCATATATAAAAATTTTATATATGGTGAAATTTTCTTAGAATTTTGATGTTGACTTTTAAGTTTTTCTAATATATTATCTTATAAAAGTTAGAAAATATGAGCAATTTTTTTGGTTAAAAGATAATTGTAAAACTTGAGAGATATTGTTAGAGCAAAATATTGAAACTGAAGAGTCTAAACCCTACTTGTAGCACATATTCGAGTGAATTTGGTGTGAGTACTTAAAATTCCAAACACACACCACCCTTATTACCCTCTCTATCGGGTTCAGAACACACCCAAAAACTGTATTAATTGGATTTTCCTTATCAAATCAATTCAACTACAAGAGATTATCCTAGTGGTACTAGGAGTGTGAGGATGAAAACAACATGTACCCACCTAGGATTGAATGAGAACATCAACCAACGTAAAAAAAAGTCAAATCAATTCAAATTCAATTAAATACCAATGTTTATTTTTCCATCCTACTTTAAAAAACTCAAATCTCGAGGAGTCTTTCATCAACTGTATTACTACAAGTGCATATTGTCATGGGGCCTGGATAGTAGATAAGTTGCTCCATCATTTTTCGGGCCTAAACAGAAACTGTACTTTCATAAGTGGGCCTGAGAATCGGTCAGCGAAAGAAATAAAGCCCAGCCTACCAGGCGTACTTTGGGTCTGATACAGCCTAATTAACAGTTGAAGAGGCAAACAAACAATAATCCCCGGCGAAACGCTAGCCATATCAGGTTCAGGTGTGCAACAATCAATATTCACAAAACGAAATGGGTACCTCCTTTATCCAATCAGTCCGAACAGTGACCCAAATCAAAATTATTGTTTGCAATGCCGTTCCACCAATCATCCCCGACCATATCCCCTGTTCGAGCCCAAAAAGGAAAACCAATAATAAAAAAAATGGTCAAATCTACAATTTTCTAAAAAAAATTAAATTAATTTGACCCAACATAATTTGCATTTTCAGTCATTAATTGGAATGGAAGGAGGATATTACAGTACTTAAAAAATATGATCATATTGAATTGAAATATTTTTGACATATTAAAAACATATACTAGAGAATGATCCCACCGCGTCAACACCGTGTTCATTTTCAAACATAATAATCAGAGTCAGAGGTGTCTTAATCTATGGGTTAAGAAAGCAATTACCTTGGCACCCAGATCGTAGTAGAAACCAAGAATTACTCCCACAGGAATGCCAACCGCATAGTAACACCCCACATTCACATAAGCAACAAATTCTTGCCATCCACACCCAACAGCCACACCTAATTGTAATGAATTTCGTCCACAGATTTGTCAAATATTAATTATTGCATAAGCATAAGCATAAGCATAAGCATAAGCTAAACAAACATTTGTTATATCAATAATATGAGTTCGTGATGGATTAGAAGTGTAACGTGCCTCTAATACGCAACATGTTTCACTGCATAATTCTACTCGTAATAAATGTGGATAACACAAAATATTCCATTCAAACATGTGTTGTAGAGATTTCTCTTAAGGTATGCTCATCACTAACAAGGAGGACACAATTATCTTTAAGTGGCCGGATACGTACGTTGCTAACTGTGCTGCAAAGTTTTACGCAATAATAATAATTAGGGTGTAACGTAACGCACCTGAAAGCACGGGCTGAATCCCATTGATGATGAGGGCTAGAGCTAAAAGAGGGCAGAGGTCAGAAACGGCGGCGGCCACCTCTTCCCCGCCGGTGAAAGCATAGCTGACGACGTCGCGGACCGCTAACAGAGCAATGGCTATAACAACCGATATGAAGCAGGACAATGAAGCGGAGACTATGACTGAAAACGCTGCGGATTTGGGGTTCCCGGCTCCAAGCTCGTTACTCACTCTCACGCTGCATATATATAATTTTTGTATCCACACATTCATCCGTCGGTTAATCAAAAGAGAAATAACAAAAAGTTTCAATCCAATTGTTAGTCCGTACAATTGTATACAATAAGGTTTTATATAAAATGCTGACCTGACGGCTGCGTTGAAGCCGATGGAGATCATAAATACGGAGTCATATATTGCCAAGCTGCAGTGAAATTAGTCGGGTTGATTAGACAAAAGTCGTGTATAATATTAGGTCAATATAGTAGCTCCTCTTTACTAAAATAATACACAATTATTTTATATGATTAAAGTGTTTGATTACTCAACAATCATGAAAAAGCCACGGCTGATGAAATTTCATGATTGTCTAAATAAGCATCGATCATGTGTGTACATACATACAAGCTGATTTGCATGAATATCAAAATGTTAGGCATAAAAAATTTTAAGTACTAAAATAAAAAATTTCATGAAGGACTTATATGCAAAATATTAATGTTGATTAAAAAATATTTGACGTTATTTATTACATCATCATACAAATGGAAACAAATTATAGATCAAATTGTTTCATAAAACCCTTTTTCTTGTGTAAGTAAAATATATATTAGGTGCAACAAGAGACCAAATTCTATAGTTTAGGGTGGGGGCCGGGCATATATAATATTCGTACCAGACAGAGAGAGCATCAAGAGTCAACTGAGGGTTAGGGAGCAGCCCAGCGATCAACACCAACACCTGAAAATACCAAATCTCCAAACAAATCATCACCGCCGACGCCGCCGACATCTTTGCGAAATCCCACATCCCGGCAAAAACCTCGGAGCCGCCTCGAAACCCTCCCCACGTGTCCTCACACTCCCCGCTCTTCACAATATACCCAAACTGCCCCGCCGCCACCAACCACCACGACAGGCTGAGCACCAGCGACGCGCCCACCAGGCCCGTCCCGAGCCCGTACACCGCCAGCCAGCTCAGCGCCACGTGGAGCGCCACCACGGTCGCGGAGATGTAGGCGGTGGGTGCCACGATGGACTGGGCCTGGAGGAACTTCTGGACCGGGAAGTTGACCGCGCAGGCGAAGAGCTCCGGGATGAGCCCGTAGACGAAGAGGGAGGCGGCGGAGGCGATTTCCGGCGACTGGCCGAGGGATATCAGGATGGGTTTGGAGAAGATGTAGACCACGGAGATTGCGGCGGCGGTGAGGAGGAGGATGAGGATGGATTGTTGGAGGTAGATCCCTAGCATGGCGTATTTTTGGGCGCCGTAGGCTTGCCCGCATAGTGTCTCCACCGCGCTCCCCATTCCTAGCTGTACGGTCATGGTTAACAATTAATTACTAGATTGAATTAATATTATATATTAAATTAAGAACTAAGTAAAAAATAAATCGTTGGAGGGGTAGAGTTTTATTTTAATTTATGTAAAAATCACAGTATATGGTATGGATTACAATTTATCTATGTGCATGTTTATGATGTGTCATCGTTACTATATGATAATCATATAGTTTCAAAATGTATACAAATAGTTTATTAATATCACAATAAACATTTGTAAACATTCATTTTTTACATTTACAAATGATTTCATTAGATGACAATGGTGGTGTCTTCAATGTACTCGAAACTCAACGTATATCATAGATGTCTCGTTTCTATTTTGGCTCAACCACTGATTGTGAAAGATAATGAGATAATAAAAAAAATTATATTTCATATAATTTGTTAGTATTGTGTGCATAATTTTACGATTGCCTCCTATCAGAATTTTGCTAGACACATTCTTTCTTTTGTAACAAGATACGAACATTATACACATCTGACAAATTTATAAGTAGTTGCGTGTGATATATATAGATGAAAAGTTACGTGACACTATGCCATCCAATTGTATATAAAAATGGAAGTGAGGAGGAGGATAGAATAATACAAATACAAAGGTTTTGAACTAAATAAAATATGTATGGCTATATAAACGAAATATTTATTAACTATATGTTATTATACGAACCAAGAGGCCATAAGCGAAGAGCTGGATGCCGGAGAAGCCGAGGGAGGAGGCGGCGAGCTGGAGGTTCCCTAGATGGCCGGCGAATATTTCGGTGGACATCCCCATCAGAAAGTTGAGCATGTACACGATGACCGCCGGCGCGGCCAGGTGGACGAGGAGCTTCGACTCCGCCCACGTGGCCAGCCTGATCCGGTCAATGAACCCAAGGTGCGGGTCGGACAGCACGCTCTCCAGCTCGTTCAGGCTCGCTTCTTCCTCCGATAGACCGCGGCGGTGGCAATTAGGATGGACCAGCAATGGCTCCTCGATTGGAGATGCGGCGCCGGCCATTGTGAGAAAATGAAATGATTGATTGGAGGAGGGAATTGGGATCAGTGAAATAATGACGAAGGTGGGTTTTGTTATAAATACGTTTAGGAAAGTTGATTACAGAGGTTCTGGTCATTGGATGTGGGTGGTTGGCCAAATCCATCAGCCGGGAGATTATTTCTTTGAAGTTCTACCGGACCGTTGTTTAAGTACAGATTGAAATGACAAATGCATTAGCGACCAGACATTTGAATGGACTTGACTCCACGTGTGTTATTTTTGTATATAAAATGAAAAAAAAAATGTGAACTACCTCCAACAGGGATATCATGGAGCAATCTCATACAGAGATAATCTACAATCGGTTCACAAAAAAATAGTGCATATTCGTTATTTATTCTATTTAGATCGAGTTTTATTTAACCTTATACTTGTACAAGATTTGTCATGAATCAAAACCATACAAAGATTCGTTTGGATTTTGGTTATTCATATTCTTATATTATTTCATCTAATAAATATTCCTATGCATCTATAATCGGGCTGGTTGATATGAGATAATAGAAAAATCATACCCGCCCATCACCATAATATCCATGCTTGGATTGGATTTTATACATACGTCAACGTAATTGATTTAGTAGTTTAGGTTTAATCATATTTAATCGGGTCAGATTCGATCGGTTAACAATGTTGGTGAATATTTTTTGCATTCATAATCGTTGCCTCATATGTTGGTGTCTCTAAATACTAGGCAAGAGAAGTTACTAAGTTGTTTTAACAGAAATTATGAGTGCAAATGAAAGACAACGAATGGAGAAAACCTACTAATTTAAGTATTAAGAGAGTTTTTGAATGACATGTAAGTTAACATTAGTTGTATATTTTGGATTTAAACAAATAATATTTTGGGATTGTGATGTCTGAAAGCTGTTACTGGAGATAGTTTTCTGCAAGTTACACACAAATTCGAAGGGATTAGTTTCGTTGTCCCTGTCACGAGATGGGGTTTTCGCAGCGGCAGTTAATAACGTTATTGACCAATTAGATACATTAATTTATATAAGGAAATATATGGTACCCTTGCTTCTTCTTCTGGCATTTAGTTAATTAATCATTTAACGTCCTTAACTTCAAATCTTAACCCATTGCTTGGCCAACAAACACCACCATCCTCTAATAGTCTTTTTAATTTTTATTTATATATAACTGTACAATAAGATAGTTAAAGTGTATCAAACAACAAAAGACGACAGTCAATGGATATGTCTAAACGAATTTGTGTCGGAAACCTATTAACATACATGCATACCAATTTTCTGAGGAATATCCCGCCAGTGTTGACAAATCGGTAGAAATTGTTGTGTATTATTACTGAAATCAAATAGGGTTTATATAGAGTATATAAACTTATTTCTATAATAACCTAACATTAATATGGAAATTACCTAACTTATACGACTCTGATAATGAATATAACTCTGAAAATTACATAACAGTATTCGTAGTATAAAATAAATCTACTCGTACTACACATACTCTAATACCCTCCCCAAATTGATGATAATTACTTACCAACAATTTGAAAACCGAAACAAAAAACCACACAAATTACTATGAAGAACGTACGTGACAAAAAAATAATGAAAAACATAACTGCTCCGCCAAATATGCCGATGAAGACCATGTCGCATGCCTCGTCTTCTAGTCTGTTAAACCAAGTGTCCAACAAAATAAATGATCACTTGCCACAACTCCGCACAGAAGGAAGCGGAAAAAACAAGGGACGATCAAGAAGAAAGATACTCCAGAAGAACGAGCAGTGACCGTGAAATTTTGTTGTCACGAAAACAGAACCACGTGCTCCGAACAGCAACATGGAAATCAAGATGGTCCGAACAACATCATCGAAACATAAACATAACCACGTGCTCCTAACAGCAACATGGCAATCAGGAGCTCTGCATAACATTATAGAAACAGAAACCAGAAATGCTCCGTACAACATTTTTTCAAACAGAGATGCTCCGAACTACAACAATTTTGGCCTATTGTGAAAAAAAAATTCATTAATATTTTGTCACAATAGACCATATAATGTGACGACAACCATGTTTGTCATAATTTCCGTACATGTTGTGACAAACAACGAGCTTGTCATAAAATTTTGTCATATTAAGTATGTATTATGACAAATTCATTATGTCAACATTGTTTTGTCAAAATATGGTCATCGGCTAGGAATGATTGGATTATATTGTGAAAAAATATTTATCATAATATCATCTGTCAAATTATCTACTATGTCAGTTGGATTATGACAACTTCATTTGTCATAATATTACAAATGTACCTATAATATGACAGGTTATACTTAGTAAAAAAAACTCGTTATCGGCTATGTATTGACGGAAAATTGTGGCGCGGAAGATGAAACGTTTAATGTGACAAATAAATATTTTGTCACAATATACAATCGGAGTACTTTATTATGACAAACTAACTTTGTTACATTAAATATATCACACATTTGGTTAGCCAAAATGTGATTTGGCGGGAACTTGTGGAGGGAAATAATAAATGTATAGTATGACAAGTAGTAAATTTGTCACAATATATATTAGTATATATTTCTGCTAACAACCAAGTTTGTAAAAAAACCCTATACCTTAAATCGTGAAGTGTAAAAAAAAAAATCTTCACCGCTAAATTCTAAACCTTATAATGTAAAGTGTAATCGATTGATGAAAGCAATCAGTAAACCTACAATAATAAAACTTACATTTTAGTTGAACAACGATCCACTAAACCTTATCGCATAATGCATGTTGTTGCTATAATTTGAAGTGTAATTATTTTTCATAGTTAGAAAATTATGTTTTTATCTTCCTTTTAGGTATTTGAGCTCGCCCCTATCGAGGCACTCAGAAAGATGGCACAATTAACCTTTGTCTTTTTATTGCTCTGATAACTCCTCTTCATCCTACAACCTTCTTTATCCCGTATACTAAACAAGTACAAGGTACAAATTTTTGTTGCAATGGCCCCCGATCCACGTACGGTAAATGGGCTTATACCACGCTTATTATTGTGAGAGTCCTACCCTTAACTTTGTGACAACATATGTGGTTAACTTGTCTCACCCTTAACTTTGCGACAACATATGTGGTTAATCTAATATCATTGTTACGTATTATTCTCTTTTTTGTAATTTATTTTCTAAGTCAAAAATTAAAATTATTTTCCATGTTTATTATGAAAAACGGAAGAAAAAGAAAATCAAACTCCTTTTCGTATGCGGCAGAGGAGAAGTCAGTTTATCTTCCGCGCGAGCTTCTTTCCTTTCCCTCTCAACTTTCACTCTGAACCCTAAGGAAACCCAATCGACTTCCTCAATCAATCTCATACACTGCCGCGTGCAAGAAAGATTCTGATCCAGAAGAGCTGAGTTTTGAAATCCTCTGGCATGTTCGGTTTTTCTTTGTGAATCATGTCGATTTGATTTTACTAATGGTTGTATGCGTTGCCTCCCCCTTTTTGAATCTATTTCAGTCGATTGCTAGGACCTGATTAGGGTAAGGAAACGTTAATATGCATTCTGTCTTTTCCTTTTGATTGCTTAACTTATGCCTTTTAATGGCGGGAAAGGAAAAAGGGGAAATAAGAGTCTCCATATGATTCCTTGATTTCTCCATGCTCATACCCTTTGATTTTCCTCAGCTCTTAAGGCTTCTTTCTCTCTCGTATTGGGGATGTCTCGTGGGGGGTTTCTGATTCCATAGATGGGTTTCTGATTTTGATGTTGTAATATATGTGGGTTCGCTTAACTAATATCCTTCATATTCATGCGAGGGAGATTTTTCTAAGAGATGGACAGTAGGCTATGATCTCTTTGTGTTGTATGCTCTGGCATTTTTGAATCATTAGGTGGCGTTTTGTAACCATTAGGGCTGTAATTGTGCAGACTTGACATGTCTTCATTAGCCTATTTGCAGACATAGAGTACGTATGAGATACTAATATAGCATATGTCATCTTTTTTGCAAGTGTGCTTGTTGCTCATTGTATCTTCAGCTTGCAACTGAGATAACAACATACGTGTGAAGGTCAGTCTTACCTTTACGCTTAATCAGAATGAACAGATATTGGATTAAGGTAAGAAATAGATTCTGCGATGAATATGTTGCGGGGGTTAATGAATTCCTAGGGGCTGCAGCTAATCATTTTGATGCACTTGGTAGGACTAGATGTCCATGCAAGAAGTACAATAATATTTATTTTAAGAACTTAAACTTGGTGAAAACTGATATGTTTAAGAATGACATGGTCGATACGTATACTACATGGATTCACCATGGCGAACCATATGATTTTGGAAGTAGTAGTACCCTAAACCAGCCTCTTAACTCTCCTATTCAAGCTGAAACTGAAGGGTTCAATGATGATATCACTGAAATGTTAGAAGATGTGGGTCGAGCTGCTGAAATTTCTTCTACAACAGGGGCTGCATCATTGACCGATAATATGAATATACCTACTAATGCCACTTTGGCTAGGTTAATAAAAGATGCTAACTGTCCCCTATATCCAGAATGTAAGAAATTTTCAAAACTTTCTTTCGTCATGAAATTATGAATAACAAGTTCCTCACCAATAGTAGTGATAAAGCATTCAACTTGAATCTGGAATTATTCAAGGATGCTTTACCACATTGGGAGACACTTCCTAATTCATTTTATGAGGTTAAGCGGTACATGCAAGATCTTGGGTTTGGTTACACTATTATAGATGCATGCCCAAACAATTGTGTTTTATTTCGAGGTCCTCTCCAATATGCAAAAACTTGTCCAAAATGTAATGAACATAGGTACAAACCTGGTAAACAGAAAGAGGTAGCCCAAAAAAAAAAGCTAGGTATTTCCCTATAAAAGATAGGATACAAAGACTATTCATGACAAAGGAGATTGCAAAAGACATGAGGTGGCCCAAGAAAAAACGGGTTGTTGACGATATTCTACCGA